ACAGCGCCAGACATGGTGTGCCGCGGCGCGCGGCGCACCGAGGACCCCGACCAGGTCGCGTGACGGAGTCGTGGGTACGCGCGGGCCCACCGCGCCCGCTAACCCATCACTTCCCGTACACCTGGCGCCCTACAGCCCGCCGTAACGCAGTGGAATCCAATGCGGCATATCCCCACAAACTTGCCTCTGTACCCTTCGAGAAATGTTTATTCGCACAAAATACCTAACCTTGTGGCCCACCAAGGGCCTATGTGGAATAATCGAAACCTCAGGTCCTTGGGAGGAAGAGTTTTAAATCGAACAGTGGCTCGCGGTTTCCCGCCCACTTGGCGCGCAATTTCCCGCTTAATTCCGCGCCGAGGGATCAGAGGGACGGGAGGCGGCCACGTCACCGATCCCGCCCCTCCTTCCCCCGCACGGCGCCGTCCGTTGGAAGGCGGGGATCCTCCCGCCGCGGGCGCGTCCATTATAAGCCGCCCCTGCCCACGACACTTCCCTCCCAAATTCCCCTTTCAAAACAAGGAAGGCCAAAATTTCTCCCCCCGAAATAAAGCATCCAATGGCCATGGAGAGCGGCGCAGAGGCCGCGGCGGCGGCGGCGGGCTACTACGGCGGCACCTGCGGGTGGGAGACGCCGAAGCGGGAGGAGTGCCGCATCCCGGCGACGCTGCCCTGCCCCGCGGCGCCGAGGAAGGCCGCCGCGGACTTCGGCACGCCCCGGCGTCCGCCCAAGAACGGCTACTTCCAGCCGCCTGACCTCGAGGCCCTCTTTGCGCTGGCCCCGCGCCGGCAGGCGTCTTGCGCGTGATTCTGCCCGCTTCGGCGGCGACGGCGGCCGGCCGCGGAGGGCTCTGTTTTGGGATTGATTTTGGGAAGTGTAGATACTCAGCCGGTTTCTCCTCTGTTGTACTATTAGCGGTAGCGGATTAGGGGTGTTCTAGGGAGCAGTAGTATGTAGCTAGGTAGGCGGGCAGGGGAACTGATATGAGCGGGGAGCTGATGAGCATATGGTTTTTGTATCGGCTGGAATGAGAAATCCTGATTTGTTTCTTGGCACTGATGCGACTCTGCTTGCTTATTGCGCACTTCTGTAGTATGTGCTCAAGTGCTGATGTTGCTGAAGTTCTGATGTTGTTCTTCATGATGCCATTTTGACGTCGATTGTTGAGCCACGATTAATTTTACTACTAAGGATCCAAGGTCAATAATGGCGGCTGGGGCGGCAACTGTAAGCTGAATGCTGCTGCTGCTGACCCTGTGCGGCCGGCTCCTCACAGAGGGAAGCGTCGCTGTATGCACTGCATGCCAGTGATTTCTTGCTTGGCTTCCATGCGAGGCATCTGACGGCGTGATCACTAATCAAGCTGTAGCTTCAAGGTTTGAAATGCCTCCTGTCCAAGCTGCAATCAGAAACCACAGTGCAGTGACTCGATCCCACAGTGCCTCCACGGTTCGTGGTTCGTTTGCTTTAGGGTTAGCTGGGCCAGCTGATTAGTACTACTCCCTCCGTCTAGGTGAGTAAGTCATTTTAGGTTGTGCACCGTGACCAAGGAAGAGGGAAAAACAAGAAAACTTAATGTTCATTTGCTAATTAATAGCATTGCATGCAATGAACTAATCACTGCATGTCGTGTTTGGTAGTCTCAAGTCATTAAAAGCATGCACACCTTATTTCTCTTATTGGTTGATATGTCAAGAAACAAGAAACGAGGTAGAATTTAATGCACCGCGTCTAAGTGTTTTGGAATTATTTGATTTTCGTAAGGTGACTTACACATCTAGATGGAGGGAGTAGCAGGAGTTACACTAACGCTCGCAAAGTGTGGTTGACTGTTGGTCGGCACTGTGCCACTGTTTTGTTTTGTTTTGCCAAGAAGAGTTAATACAGGCGACATGAAGCAGTGCGTGGTCTTGAAGATGCAATTAATGTGGGTGTGGGTGTGGGAGATCCGGCAGCATGATGTGGCTTTCTCCGCCTCGCATGCCTGCCTCCTAGCGGCTATGCGTATTGCAATGCGAGGTGTGTGGCCGTGCGTGTGACTAGTGTCAGGGCTTCATTCAGAACAACACCCCGTGGTCCTGAAACTGAAACAAATGGAGGGGAGGAGATCACGGTGACACCGACAGTCTCCGGATCCCATGAACGGACGACGACGACGCCCGCCGGGGAGAAGATAGCCCGTGAGGTGAGGTGGCCCGCGCGGCAGCGACAGAGAGACGGAGAGCCATTCTTTAACTTTGGCGTGGAACAAACCAGCATGTGATGGAAGTGCAGTCTACATGTGTGAGGCCAACTTCACCGCGCGACCCTATCCTGTCCGGGCCCGTCCGTTTGGGATAAAATGGACAAAAGAGGTGGTCCAACGCGCGGCCTCAAACGGACAAATGTTCGGATTCCGTCCGTTTTCGACCCAACCCCAGCCCAAACTTGCGCTCGGTTTGGGGTGAAACGGCCGCGCGCGGACGGCCGCGACGCACGCCATTGTCCCCCCGTGGCCCGCCTGTCGGGGACACTAGCAGTCCCTCCGCTCCCAACGCTTCACCCTCTCTCCCCGCCCCGCCCCGCCGCCGGCGCCGCCCCTATTCTCCGGCCGCCTCCTCACCGCGCAGCCCCGCGCCGTCCATACCAAACTACGTCTCGACATGGCCGCCACCACGCCCGCGCTTTCGCCGTAGTTTTGGTCGTCTATCGGGGGAGGTTTGGCCGTCGCCGTCCTTGCCGGTGGCGGAGGGGACACGACTGTCGGCGACGGACCAAGGCGGATTCCGACGAGAGCTCCAGAGCGGCCAGTAGCCGGCCGGCAACCATCCCTGCTGCATCGAGGTGATCATCGCGGCCTCTTCGCCACCACGACCGGAAGGTGTTCGACTTTTTGCCATCAAAGGTATGGACAGTGGAGATGAGTTTTTCTTTCATCACTTCCTTTGTTCGTCGGACGATTCGTCGTCGGATGATGAAGATCTTGTGGTGGCTGCACTGGTCGTTCACGACCATATTCAACGGCAGCTTCCTCGGTACAGGGGGTCACTCCCTGGCCGTGCTCCCAACCTGAACCGCAACAGGGAGAGAGGCCACGCCCTGCTTTATGCCGATTACTTTGCCAACACCCCGCTCTTCAAGCAGGATAAATTTCGTCGCCGTTTTCGTATGGCAAGGCATGTGTTCAATCGTATCCGAAAGGGAGTGGTTGCTCATGACCCATACTTCGAGTGCAAGACGGATGCCCTTGGCGCTTGGATTCTCCTCTTACCAGAAATGCACCGCGGCCATCCGCATGCTTGCATATGGTATTCCAGGCGATCTAATGGACAAGTATGTGCGTATGAGTGAGACAACATGTCTGATATCAATGTACAAATTTTGCCAGACCGTGATCGAGGTGTTTAGCCCAGAGTGCCTGAGGCAGCTAACTGCCGCTGATACAGAGAGATTGTTGGCGACCAACGCAGCTAGAAGCTTTTCAGGCATGCTTAGCAGCATAGATTGTATGCATTGGGAGTAGAAAAACTGTCAATTTGCTTGGCAGGGCCAGTACAAGAGGCGTGTTAACGGGTGCACTGTCATATTAGAAGCGGTGGCATCGCAAGATCTTTGGATATGGCATTCTTTTTTCGGCACGGCAGGTTCTCACAATGATATCAACGTGTTGCAGCGCTCTCCAGTCTTCGCAAGGCTTGCAGAAGGCCACTCCTCACCTGTCAACTTTGAGATCAACGGCCACCAGTACAACAAGGGATATTATTTAGCAGATGGTATATATCCTCAATGGTCAACTTTTGTGAAGACAATCTTGAAACACCAAGGTGAGAAGAGAAAGAGATTTGTCCAAATGCAAGATAGTGTTAGAAAGGATGTGGAACGTGCTTTTGGTGTGCTTCAATCCCGGTGGGGTATCGTTCGAAACCCTGCACTGTCATGGGATGAAAGGAAGCTTTGGGAGGTGATGACTGCTAGTGTGATTATGCACAACATGATCGTCGAGGACGAGCGTGATGAGAGTATCTTCGACCAAGGATTTGATTATCAAGGTGAAAATATTGAGCCCCTGCACCAAGACCCGGCCACATTTGAACAGTTTGTCCAATTCCACCGTGAGATGCGTGATTGGCACACTCATTTGAATCTTCAAAATAATTTGGTTGAGCACGTCTGGGATCACATTGGCAACCAATAGATGTATTGGTTCAATTTATGTTCAGTCAAGACAATTTCGATTTGGTTGTAAAACTATTTTATTAAAGACAATTTCAATTGAGTTGTAAAACTATTTTAATTTTCAGACAAATATTTGGGTTGGAAACTAGTTTTGATACAAATTTGGGCAAAATGCCCTGACGGACAGGATGGGACAAATGGATGCGGCCGCGCGCTGGGCCGAACGGCCACCGCAGCCCAGGACAGGCCCGGACACGATCCAAAATCCTTACCCAAATGGATAGAAACCGGACAAAACGGACGTTCGTTTGAGGTCGCGCGGTGGAGTTTGCCTGAGCTTCCACTGGCACAACGGTATAGTAGCAATCTAATGATATCCATACCGTACTCATGTTTGGGATTGGTCGCGAGTAGTTGTCTTTTTTTTTTTTCCTGCGTTTTCTGAACGACAAGCACACCCGAGGCTTGCAGAAATGCCAGGAGGGATCCGAGACAGCAACGCGGCACCGGCGAAACTTGGAACCGGATTTGATCGACGCAGGGAATTTCGCCCTTGACGTACGGCTTTGCTCTGCTTTCCTTTTCTTTTCCGTTTAGTCGAGGGAGTTCGTTGCTGCGCAAGCGCCCCCAACCACTCCATGACACTGAGGGACACGGTCAGATCCTTCAGGCTGAAGCCAGATACGATTCGATATTAACATCACATCTAACTGGCCGCAGAAAAGAATTTGCCATTTTTGTCCCATCGCGATAGACATGTAATCGTCCCAATCTAGCACTCACAAGCGTGTAAAAGCACAGTGGGTCTGCACACATTATGTCTGTCGAATTGGACAGTGTCGGTATGTTGAATATTCACCTGTTTCCCCACTTTTCGCACTGATGGTGAAGACTTGGTCAAGGGTATATGTTCAAACAGTACCGTATTTTGTACTGTCCAGATTCGATCTTACGACTCGGCTCACACCTTTCCATGTGGTAGTGAGTGCGTGCATACAGCAATGCGCCAATGCCCCAGTGTCTAGTCCTACTGCAGTCATGTGCTTAGCCCCTGTGAAGATACGAAACGCAAACTTACGTTGCACACGCTCAGTTACATCAGAATCTGGTGGCCGCACATTATGTTTACACTCCACACATTCGGTGCCTTGGTATTTCATTTCTTGGACCGGAAGCATGGCTCGCTTTGGTGTTTTTCCTCTGTCTAAGAAAATCGAATATTCAGGTTTGTTCGACTGTATCATTTGCGTAGCTGCGTATTTAAATGCTCTTATCCTGGTAGGCTTCCCTTGGCTACCAAGACAAACACAATTTGCAGCCAGTAGCCTACTTTTACACGGGCCCCAGCTGAAATATTCTTTTTTTTTGCGGGGGCCCAGCTGAAATATTCGTAGTGAGAAAGGTGTGGCTGCTCCCGGATGTAGGCGCACCTGCATAAACAGTAAATTCAGGAGAAGAAAATAATAATCAGAAATTAATCAGAAATTTTGGGACGTCAAACTAGATCAAAAGTTTTAGCTTCTTGCGAAGTTTCGTGAGCAAATAACATCCAAGGAGCCCTCACACACAAAAAATCACTACTCAAAAGTGCACAATACATTGAACATTGATGTTATTTTTGGCGAGGGCTTCTCGAATGTTATTTGTGGATG